CCCTACACACTACCCCTACACACTACCCCTACACACTACCCCTCCGTTCGCGCGGAGGGTCCGTCACATTAAGTGCTGTTCCAAACCAACGAGTGTGGAGCGGTGTGGAGGGGGAGTGGGCTATCAAGCCATCAAACAGCGAGTCTGCATCGGTGCTGACTTGAGACCGGTCTCTACCTGACCGGACTGAACGCTGTGTGTCCGTCAGGAAACACGCTGTTTACAAACAGTTCCTGCAAACATCCGCTGATAAACTGCGATGTTAGCAACCTCATGATAACCTCATATTTTTTAACACAATTAAAGATGTTTGGAGTTTTATTTCAGTTCTTAATTTACATTTTTTGTCCAAGAGATGCTGATTTGAAAGCTGTTACATACAGTTACGGCATTTCCTGTTTCTGCCGGAGAGAGGGGAGTTTGTCCCAAAGCTTGCCGCTGTATTTACTCCCTCCATCTGACAGGAGGAGCCTCGTTGAGCTACGAGTGGCACTCCACAGAGTTCACTACGTCACGGAGGGGGAGTGTGTAGGGGTAGGGGGTAGGGTGTAGGGGGAGTGTGTAGGTGTAGGGCGTGGTTTGGGATTGGGCCTGAGTTTAGTCCCTCCAGCATCTTAATAAGCTTTTAAAACATGTAGAAAAAAGACAGCAAGTGAAAGCAAACCGAGAAAACACAACGTAACCTTATCGACTTATCAATTCAAGCAAATATGTATTTATAGCCAGGTGTGTATCGATGTCAACAAGCCCCATAAAACAATTTAAAAAGGGGTAGTGTTGAACAGAAATGTGCAAAAATATGTGGGTCTTCTCATGGATGTATTGTCTTTAAGGAGAATACAGAACACAGTGTACCTCCACAGAACACAGTGTACCTCCACAGAACACAGTGTACCTCCACAGAACACAGTGTACCTCCACAGAACACAGTGTACCTCCACAGAACACAGTGTACCTCCACAGAACACCAGGGGGCGATATCATCTAGTTTATGGTCTGAATATCTTCACATCACTGCTTCCTCCTCCTCCTGCAGGTTGGACCTCCTTCCCTTCTACTCTCGCCTGGTGGCCACTCTCCATCCCTGCATGTCGGACGTGGGGGAGGATCTGTGCTCCATGCTGAAGGGAGACTTCAGGTTCCACGTACGTCCTCTTATATACTAATATTACTAGGGCTGTCAGTCGATTAGAATAGTTAATCGCGATTAATCGCAAATTAATCGCACATTTTGTATCTGTTCTAAATGTACCTTAGAGGAATATTTTTCAAGTTTGTAATACTCTTATCAACATATGAGTGGACAAATATGCTTTATGCAAATGTTTGTTTATTATCTTTGGAACAATGACAAATATTCTCCTGAATATTCTCAACACAACAACCTGGAACCTTTCTTTCTCTCTCTCTCCCCCTCCCTCTCTCTCTCTCTCTCGCTCTCTCTCTCTCTCGCTCTCTCGCTCTCTCGCTCTCTCGCTCTCTCGCTCTCTCGCTCTCTCTCTCTCTCTCTCTCTCTCTCTCTCTCTCTCTCTCTCTCTCTCTCTCTTCCCCCCCCCCCCCCCCTCCCTCTCCCAACCCTTTCTACTTCTCTGCACTGAGCCAGTTGCTCAAACAGACAAGCCGCTCCTCTGTCTTCATACCAGTCAAAGCATGAGACTGACGTTCCCACTGTGGGTCAAAATAATGCGCTGTGATGTGCAGTCGACACGTTGGATGCGATCCGAATGATCTCACGCAGCCCCTCGTCCTCCACAATGTTAAGCTGTAGCCCCCCATTTAGCTATCGCTGTTGTTGTCCAGGCGTCTCCCCGGCAAACTTTCAAGCGTGGTCTGCTGCAAGCGAGCGGCCGGAGCGGGGCTGAGCATCAGCTGTGAGCTTGGCTTGCTGTTTAAAACACCTTTTTTTTGTATCCATATCTCTCGCTAGAATCTCCCACCATCCAACTAACAACAACAACAACAACGTCTAGCCTTTGGGCTCTGAAACTACGGGGCGGGCCGAGGGCAAATACACATGCGTTAATCACACGTTAAAATAATTAGTGGCGTTAAAAAAAGATTGCGTTAACTTGACAGCCCTAAATATTACATTACATTAAACCAGCGGTTCCCAACCTTTTTTAACTCGGGGCCCACTTAAGAATCTAAAAAATGTTTATAATACATTACATTAGACGATGGACTGGATTTTTCTCACTGAACAAGTCAAACTGAAAAACATCCAAAGCACTCATATATATTTGAAGTTGATTAATTCCTCAACTTTAACATATTTGACCCACTCCACAATTTCATATATTGATTGTAAGGGAATATTCGTATTCTTTTGATTAACAGTAACAGCTCATACAAATATTTAATGTACTGGGAGAAAATGTATATTGAGCAAAATTAAGTTATTTTGATTCGGCCCCCCAACGCAGCTCGGGTTTCTGATGTGACCCCTTGTAAGAATGAATTGCCCACCCCTGAGTTACAAAGTGTGTCTTTCTGACATCTTGTTGTTGTGCTCCTGTTTGTGTCGTAGATGCGTAAGAAGGACCAGATCAACATCGAGACCAAAAATAAAACGGTCAGATTTATCGGAGAACTGGCCAAGTTCAAGATGTTCCCAAAGACTGACACGCTTCACTGTCTCAAGGTGGGAGGAAAACATCTTTCTCTGGGTCTTCTTTTATATATAATGTGATCATTTATAATATGAAATGTGTGTTTTTGGAACAGATGCTGCTCTCAGATTTCACCCATCACCACATAGAGATGGCGTGCACGCTGCTGGAGACGAGCGGACGCTTCCTCTTCAGATCCCCCGAGTCCCACCTGCGCACCAGCGTCTTACTGGTGAGGAAACTGATTTTAAAGATTGTATTTTTCAATTTATTTAGTTGAAGACAGACTTGAAAACTCTCTGAAACCTAGAAAGACTCAAAAAAACTAAATACACCAAACAACTGTTTCCAGCGAAGTGGTTTCAAAACAAGCTTCTAAAAACTTCCACCAGTAACAGTTGGTCTATCTTTGGAAAGTGACATTCATTAAGGATGTGCTTATTGTGAAATTCGATATTTTTGTTGCTGTCTATAACTTGTTTTTTGGTTTACATCTGTACCAGGGAAACATCTCAACTCAAACTGAACGTTCTTAGAGTAATGCAATGCTAAATGCAGGGTGGTCTTAAAAAGTATTAAAAGTTGATTAATGAATTTAGCGAAAATTAAAGATGGGGTAGGTAAGTTTGAGAAACCGGCTCGAGATACACTTTTTATTATATTCCATGGAATGCTCTTAACATCCCGATAGCAATGAATATCTGAAGTGCTTTGACAAAAAATCCATAAAAAGATATCTGTGGAAGCCGTAGTACTGTAAAAAGCACGACCAATCATCTGAGCCGGCCCGGCTAAAATAACTGGATGGCCTACCTGCCTGTCAGCCTTCCATCTGTGCACAAACTTATCTCGTGCCCTCATTGGTCATGTGCGCGTTCATGTGTGTTGGAGGAGGGGCTCTGTAAGGAAGTGGCAGATTTTCTCCGGTTGTGTATTTTCAAAATCTAGCGCACTCGAGCCGGTTTCTCAAACTTACCTACCCCACCTTTAAGGCTATTAAAAAGTATTAAACGGCATTTTCCAAGGTATTACATTTTCTAGCTTGTTTTCAATAAGTATATAAATTGAAAAAACTATATCTGGTCACAGAGATCTGCTATTTTAAAGTAAAGTCAACACATATCGACCCTAATTATAAAACGGACAAGCCAAATCAAGCAATCTGATTGGTTCTTAGCTGTGGTATACTGAGCGTATACCACGGGTAGAATTGTAAGTTACTTTTCACAACAACTCAGTATCCCTCCGCGTCTGAGATAAACAGTATACAGTTGGGCTGAAAAGCAAACTGCCTGCAGTTTGCTTTTCAGACTGGAACAAGAAAGCAGCGGAGAAGTAACGGAGCAGAAACCCTCCTTTTTACGCAACGGTCCAGACATAGACATCAAACGGCACAAAAACATATTCAGTGTGCAGTTCCTTTGGCATTAGGGCAGGGATATTTAGATACTTTCCAAGGTTTGACATAATGAATTGTGCTCCTTTTAAAGCAAGCAACGATGTTTTCAGATCTGTAATCAAAAAGGTCCGCAAAAACATTTAAGATTAACTTCGACCTCCGGGGGGGGGGTCTTACTATGGAGGAGTGGATTGAGGAGTGCCTATCTCCAGAACAAAAAGCACCTAAACGACGACATGCAGAGCTACGTGAAGAGCAGGTAGACCAACTGGAAAAGTATCACCATTCAAAAGCTTTCTGATGCGGGTCTTGAAACAAAGCAGAGAAATGATGACCGTTAGTGGCCACAGGTGAGAAAGCTCTCTCCAGAGCTACTGGAAGCCCAATCTGGGGGTCCGGAGAAAGTGGAGCAATATTCTCGCCACGCCAAGCAACAGCCTAGAACAACCTCAGCCTATACAAGTAACCACGTAAGCCATTCTACTGATGCTGGACAGTTTTTCAGTGGGTGCACAATAAACGGCAACATACACATTAATGTAAATAAATAGCGAAATAATGGATCAACGCTCTCTGTCTAATATGTTCGCTAGCTGTTGTTAGTGTTGTTGCATAGCAACCACCTCGCACTGTTTCGTGCAGAAGGCAACGGACGGACTATTTTATTTTGACCATCATTATTTAATAATAACAACTATTTAAATTAGAGTGTGTATTTTTCTTTCATATTGCCACACTTGGTAACCGTTTTATAAAAGCAATAGCTCACTTCAGGCCGTGATATATGCTCATTATATCACAGCTAAGGGGGTTGTCGACCCTCCGCTTCGCGTCGGGCCGAACCACGCCCCTTAGCTGTGATATAATGAGCATATACCACGGCCTGTCGTGAGCTATTGCTTAAATATAGTCTATATTAAGAACGAGAAAAGTTTGAACATATATATCGTTTTTTGTAAACATATGACAAATGTGCGAGGGTGATGACGCCGGACAGCCCAATTTAACCCCTGGGTATTTGTGAGGGAGCTCCTATATGGCATTACCCCGCTGAAGCTCACCAAAGTTTAATATAGTTCAAAGTTTTGTCAATTGTTTTGTTTATTGGTCAGATACTGGTTTCAAATGGTTTCTGAGGAGTTTTACTGGAAGGAAAGAGCACAAAGTGTGTCTACAGAAGCAAAACACAGCATACTGCATTAAACCTGACCTTGACAGAGAGGTTGAAGTTCATGTGGAGAGTCGTCTGTCTGTGTTATCTCTTGGGAACAATGCCTACATCAATGCATTGGGTTGGTCACACAATTCATTCTCTTATGCTATCTGAATTATGATAAGGAGTTATCACAAGCTGTTTAGTTGTGCTATCTTACAATCAATACTGTATATAGTAAATGTGAGGTAAAGTGTGTCGCCTATGTAACCGGGTTGAATTCGAAGTGGCGATGAGGTCTTAAAATGTATGGAAAGGGTCTTAAAAAAGGTCTTAAAAGGTTTTACATTTGACTTCAGGATTCCTGCATACACCCTGTAAATGACTCTGTCTTTAAAAGGCACATATTCAATCAAACCAATCGAGGAGGATACACGGAGCAGACTACGAGGAAGGGTTTTCACTACCCGCGTATAAAAGCCCCCCCACCTTCACAGCTGGTCCATTTCAACACAGGAAGAATGAGTGGGAAAGCGTCACATAAATCTAAGTCCTCACAGCTTATTATGTGCAATTCATTTCTTAAGGTTATACCAACCATTGAAGTCATGTTTAATGATCTTGAACGTCACTAAAACATAGCTATTAAGAAAGCTATTTCATAAATGGCTAGGTCTTGATAAATAACAATTATTTTATAGTTTTGTGTTAAAAATATTCAGGAGTTAAATTATTTAAAATTCACAGTCCTAAATGTGGGGATCTACAGGACACACATTTTCAGAGTAAAGGCTTTCACATTACTATCATTATATTTATTTAAATGTACATTTTACACCAAAACGGAACACAAAAGCAGGACCAACCATCATACATTGAATTCCTTGACTAACAAGAAAAAGATTCATCATTTAAATAAATATTTAACAACAAATGGGCCGGTTCTAAAGGGTTATTCAGTTAAGCCCGATGAGAGGGGATACAGCTGTGCACATGTCATCATTAACAGACGTCGTTTAAAAGTGACGTTTGAGTGAACGAGGACATCCCAATTAATACCTGAGGACTCCTCTGTCCTCGCGTCACCTCCTCGTGTCTCTCGCTCACATCTTACGGAGGCGGAGCTTAGACGCAAGGAAGGGACGCGAGTGAGGGAAAGGAGGAGGTGAAATATTCAATTGAGATGAGCCTACTGTTTATGTGTTCAAACACTCGTCTCCCTGTGTGTTTTCCAGGAGCAAATGATGCGTAAGAAGCAGGCTCAGCACCTGGACGCCCGCTACGTGACGATGGTGGAGAACGCCTACTACTACTGCAACCCTCCGCCCATGGAGAAGACTGTGAAGAAGAAGCGGCCGCCGCTGCAGGAGTACATCCGGAAGCTTCTCTACAAGGACCTGTCCAAGGTGTTTTATCTGAACTACATCGGCTGCCAGTGTCTGTTAGAATTGATTTTAGAATTATTTTACTGGTATTTAAAGCTCTTAATGGTTTGGCACCCACTTATTACATTACATTACATCACATGTCACTTGTTAGACGCTTTTATCCAAAGCGACTTACATACTCAATCCTGTGGGCAATCCCCACAGGAGCACTTTGGGGTGAAGTGTCTCAGGGACACAACGACATGCTGACTGCAGTGGGACTCGAACTTGCTATCCCCTGATTCAAAGTTCAGCGCACTACCCCACTTATCTCACAGAGTCACTCTTGGTGTTTGCCCCCGGACGAGCCCTGAGGTCTTCTTCAGCTATTATATTATATTCACTCTCGGCCGATCGATCGGTGCTCTCTATAAAGGCCGATCAGGAGAGCCGATCACATGTCGTAAAATGATGACGTGTTATTATCCAACGTTAATGTAAACTTGAATAATGTACTTCATTTGAATGTAATAATTATGTTGTTTGTGGAAGTGCATCATGTATGGAAAATGAATCTGAACTCTTCGATCCGTTACGATTATAAACTGAAGCAATATAAAAATGAGCATTAACTGAGTTGTAAACATCACTTTAAATGGAAGTTCCCCATAGGCCCCGCCCACTCTATGGTCGGATCGCTATCGGCCGATACTGATTCCGGCGATCGGCCCTAAAATACCCAATCGGAGCATCCCTAATTTGTTAACCTGATCAAATGTTATATTTCGCTGCATGGACCTTTTAAAGTTCTTAAAAAATAATCTGAGGGGAATTTCTTGTTATGTCTTTTTAACTTGTGATGTGTCCTTTTGTAAAGCACTTTGAGCTGCATGTGCTGTATGAAAGTGCTATATAAATAAAGCTTTATTATTATAAGGTGACCACGGAGAAGGTGCTGCGGCAGATGAGGAAGCTTCCCTGGCAGGACCCCGAGGTGAAGAGCTACCTGATCTGCTGCATGGTGAACATCTGGAACGTGAAGTACAACAGCATCCACTGCGTCGCCAACCTGCTGGCGGGCCTGGTGGCGTACCAGGAGGACGTCGGGATCCACGTGGTGGACGGGGTGCTGGAGGACATCCGGCTGGGCATGGAGGTGAGGAGGAAGGGTCTTATACTCTGATTGCCTTTTACACTGTTAAATTGTATTCTTTTAGTTTTGTATGTGTTTAACAGAGACACATGTTTCAAGGGTTCAAGGCTTTTATTGTCATGTGTACAGAGCTGAATTATTAAAGACCGTGGTACCGTTAAGCTCCGACGTTATCGGTCTTTTTATCGGTACTGGAGACATGTAAAAATATATCTCATATGTATTATTGCTACACAAACATTATATTGCAGTTTTAGTGTCGCCAACTCCGTTTCTAATACGCAAAAAGACAGCAAAATGCGTCTATGATTATTTTTAGTATTTTCAGTCTTTCCAATCCAGACGAGATCTCTCTCCCCCGTCTGTGTGCGAGGGGGCGGTTTACACACACGCAGCTGCTACATGCAGCAACACACACACACACACACACACACACACACACACACACACACACACGCAGCTGCTACATGCAGCAACACACACACACGGCGGAGAGAACGCGCTCCGAGGTGTGGTTAAACTTTACCCGTCTCGATGAGGACAATGCTCGTTACCTAAAGTGCAATTAGAGTTCAGCATGTGAGGGCGGCAACACGAGCTGTTTGTCTAAACATTTATCAAAAGTGCTCCACATCCAGACGGAGAAATGCACCGGGTTCGACTGTCTCTCTAGTAGCTCTGTAGCCCCATCCACGAGTAACGTTTCCACGTCAGGTGTTATGTATGCTAGCAGCAACACACGGAGCTAACTCAATGATACAAACATGGGTTCATGATTAGAGGGAACTGAGTTAGTTAGTTAGTTAAAGTTTCAGCTATTCTGTTCACAGTTCTGTCATCAGATTATTTAATACCATTTGTTTCTTTTGATTTTTGATTTAAATAAAAAGCAATGTTAATTTTGTTCACAATTTGTTTATTTTTTTCTCCAAAAGAACCGATAAGAGAACCGTTAAAAGAACGGATCGATAAGCGGTATCGATAAAAGTAGTAGTACCGTTAAAACCTTAACGATACCCATCCCTAGTAGTTATGTGCACATGAACATCTTAGGTCACAGGCTCCTCCTCCAACAGAGCAACACAATAAAACAGATAGAATAGTGTAAGTAAATACAAATACAAATAAAATATAATATAATAGAAATTGTGCAGAATAGTCTATTTACAAGTAATTGGAATATTGATAAGTTACAAACTGATGAATGTTATGGATGTGTCTATGTTTACATGTGTTAAGGATTTACCTTTCAGGAGGGGAGTGTAAAAGGGGATTAAATGGGTAAGGACTGGGGGGTTTAATGGTTTAATGAGGGGATGGGGGAGCAGCTGTTTCCTCTCATGAATATATAGCTGGACTGTAAGCAGAACTTCTTTACCCTCTGAGGAGGAAGTAGCTCTGTTCCTACATTTCAGATCCACTCCTCTTGCATAATGACTTTCTTTATTACTTTATTCAATATAACAAAAGACAGACTTTATCCATGAATCATTTATCAGTTTAGAGTTTCGGGGATGCTCTTGCTAAGTAACAGACTATAGATACAAAGATTGGTTAGACATAGGGGTTTTTGTTTAGCCTTTCAAAAACAAGATAAGGTAAGGTAAGGCACGCAGCTGTATTAACGGGACTTTTGCGCTAAGATTATTTCCTGATGAGGGCAGAATGTGGAGTTAGGTTCAGCAACAGGACAGGAAGTCAATAAAAACAGTTGCTAATCTTAATTGACGGTTTGACAGGAGGAAGTGTTGCTGTTCCGCATTATTTTTAGATGTTTTTGACACGAGAGAATGCTTTCTGGCTTCATGCTCACGAGGTTTTGCACACCACCTTTTAGCTTGGATGAACACGCAACAGAATATGTAACACTGTTTGTCTTAAATCTGCCTCCATCTCAAATCAGTCCAAGAGTTTAACAAGTTTTCATAGTATCTATCTCATGATATTGTAAGCTGTCATATACAAAGTAAGAGTAAGTCTAATTACGCTTTCTTTACACATACTAAATAAACATATTATTATTATATTTCCTTTTACCTCCAGGTGAACCAGCCGAAGTTCAATCAGCGGCGCATCAGCAGCGCTAAGTTCCTCGGCGAACTTTACAACTACCGCATGGTGGAGTCGGCGGTTATTTTCCGGACCCTCTTCTCCTTCATCTCTTTCGGGATAAATCAGGACGGCAGCCCCAGCGCTTTGGATCCTCCGGAGCATCTGTTCCGGATCCGGCTGGTTTGCACTCTGCTCGATACCTGCGGACAGTACTTTGATCGAGGGTCAAGCAAGAGGAAACTCGACTGCTTCCTCATCTACTTCCAGGCACGTTTTACAGCTAATTAACCTCCACTTCCTGTCTTAAGACTCTCAGTATCTTGATCCTGATTATCCAGAATATTGTAGAAATTGTATTATTTTTCTTTTGCAATTTTCATATTAATAATAATCATATTAATCCAGAGACTGTTTGGTCTTTCATGTTAAAGGGGACCTATCATGCAAAATGCACTTTTGTACGTCTTTTCTACATGAATATGTGTCCCCGGTGTTCCAGGGAACTCACCAAGTGTCAGAAAACACAACCCTCTCTATTTTCCTCCATACCCAAATCTCTAAAAAAGGGGCTGCAACGGATCTGATAAAAACTGATCCAGATTTGAACACTGTCCTGACGTCAGGACGGTGACGCTACGGCTATTGGGCCAACTCCACCAATCAGGAGGAGACAGCCACGGCCATTGCCGTTCGAAAGCGCTGGAGACGCTGTAGTACATATGCCAGGCCTGTAGGTGGTGCTGTTCTCACTGAATCAGCCCTTGCTAAAACAGAGCTAGAAAATGTCAAATTGAGCGAAATGAGGCATGGCTAAAATGCATGATCTGTTTGGTATTTTGAAAAAAAAAGTATAAATATGCCTTATATAGGTATGGTCCTACACTATATTATTCAAATATAGCATGATAGGTCCACTTTAAATAATAATAATGTTCTGTGTGTCTGCAGCGCTACATCTGGTGGAAGAAGAGCACCGAGGTTTGGACCAACGATCACCCGTTCCCCATCGATATCGACTACATGATTAGTGACACCCTGGAGCTGCTGAGGCCCAAAATGAGGCTCAGCAGCTCCTTGGAGGAGGCCACCAAACACGTGTCCGACCTGGAGAGGGAGGTACTCTTTAAACTGGGTAAGAGATACTGATATACACCTGAACATCAGCAGGAGAGGACTCTTTAAAGTAGAGACACTACATACTGATATACACCTGAACATCAGCAGGAGAGGACTCTTTAAAGTAGAGACACTACATACTGATATACACCTGAACATCAGCAGGAGAGGACTCTTTAAAGTAGAGACACTACATACTGATATACACCTGAACATCAGCAGGAGAGGACTCTTTAAAGTAGAGACACTACATACTGATATACACCTGAACATCAGCAGGAGAGGACTCTTTAAAGTAGAGACACTACATACTGATATACACGTGAACATCAGCAGGAGAGGACTCTTTAAAGTAGAGACACTACATACTGATATACACCTGAACATCAGCAGGAGAGGACTCTTTAAAGTAGAGACACTACATACTGATATACACCTGAACATCAGCAGGAGAGGACTCTTTAAAGTAGAGACACTACATACTGATATACACCTGAACATCAGCAGGAGAGGACTCTTTAAAGTAGAGACACTACATACTGATATGAACGTGGAAATGAGCACAAACGAACAAGAAAAGATGGAATATTCTTATGATAAACTAATAAATGAATCTGTTAAAATGAGATTAGATGAGTGTTTGAGTAATAAACCACGCAGAGAGGAAGTGTGATCCGGTGTCTCCAGTTGTTCGGCCTTCTGACAGCATTCCTCTCTGCGGAGGAGGACGTCAATCCTCACTCGGCTTTATCTGTCACACAGGTTTAACTTCGTAGAAAACATTCCTCAGACAAACAGAAGACACAATGCAGAGCGTCAGGAATGATAATTGTGAATGAAACTGAATGACTTGCATTTCAGAGTTTAATTTAGGCGGCTCACCCTAAATACACTCGTCCGTGTGTGTGTGTGTGTGTGTGTGTGTGTGTGTGTGTGTGTGTGTGTGTGTGTGTGTGTGTGTGTGTGTGTGTGTGTGTGTGTGTGTGTGTGTGTGTGTGTGTGTGTGTGTGTGTTGTGTGTGTGTGTGTGTGTGTGTGTGTGTGTGTGTGTGTGTGTGTGTGTGTGTGTGTGTGTGTGTGTGTGTGTGTGTGTGTGTGTGTGTGTGTGTGTGTGTGTGTGTGTGTGTGTGTGTGTGTGTGTGTGTGTGTGTGTGTGTGTGTGTGTGTGTGTGTGTGTGTGTGTGTGTGTGTGTGTGTGGAAGAAGCTGTGTTTTAAGTTATTTACTGGAGTAATTGTACTTAGTTACACTCCGCACTTATATAAATGTGTCTAAGCTTTTCTACGTGTGTGTGTGTGTGTGTGTTAGAGAAAGTGATTGATGAGGCCCTGGAAGCCAAACACAGGTTTCCATTGTCTCACCATTCATACTTTAACCAGGATCAGACATTCCTCCGTACAGAGTCACTGAAAACCGGATGTTCAGCTCCAGCTTGACTTCATTCCTTCTCACCCGTCACAACTTTTATATAATTAGTCTCTTCTTAATTGTTCTCATCTCTCAGGACGGTAATAACTCCCTCCTGAATATTTGCTCTATTTATACCTGAAGCCTTTGTTTGAGGGAAGCTGCTCTCACAGGTTGGGCTTCTCAAACTAAATTACTGTTTTACTAGAAGTAGTACTTGGATCTTTCTTTTAGAGACACTAAATACTGGTAATGTCCTCTTGTTCTCAAAGTACCAAAAGAAAAAGTCCTCAAACTATAAAAGACTATTGTATGATTAAGTCTTATAATATACAGAGATTAAATATGGAATCCAAAGTCATACATCTCACTCAAAATACAAACTTTACAAGAAATAACTCACATAAGTACAAGAAAAATGTTAATATTTGTATTAAAAACTAGTATATTTGAAAGATTAAATTGTAAAAGTGAGATTAAATTCACTGTCGGTAAAGGTGTTAACTTTATATACTGCAGCTGGATATCTTAACCTCCAATAATATATCGTAGTTTTCTTAGTTGTATATTTTCATTTAGTTTTAGTAATCTGAATTTGTCAATTAACCAAAGCTGTCAGACAAGTAAAAAATATAAGAAGAATAAAATAAAAACACTCAGGAGAAGTACAAGTACCTCAAAATGTTATGTAGGTACAGTAAATACGCATTTCCACTACAGAGCGGAGCGCGGTTTAAGCGTGCCGTGCCAAACCCGGCCCGTTTTTGTTGCGTTTCCACTAGGGGTAGTTCCGGCTAGCGGGTACTTTCTCACAGTTTTTCTGGCTCTCCAAAATCGAGGTTATTTCCGGGCCAACAACCGGGCTGAGTATGCTGAACTAGTGAGAGAATCGCTGGCAAGATGAACATATTTGACCGTGATTTAATTGTAATACACGTTTCAAAATGATGCCGAAGTAACAACATACTGATACCGGTTAGTAGAAACCATGAATTAATGCTTTGACAAGTCTGCAGACAGACGGCAGGCGAAACATCTTTTAAAATGCGTGTTTTCTGAGTGGAGATCGGCTAAGCTAACGCAGTATATGCTCCGACCGTCCACACTCACAACAATGGCCTACAGACATAAATAAACCAGCGTCTGTATTCTCCATGACACAGACAGTCTGTGGTTTGTACTTGTTTAACTTCTGTCTAGTTTCTGAACAGATATGAGGAGCTGTGAGCTCTGAGTGCTAACAGCTAACGGCTGATGTTGGTGTTATGGTTCGCATTGAAGATGACGTCACGGCTCCGCCTACACTGCGTTACTATAGTTACTGCCCCAGTTCCTAAACTGCAATGGAAACGCAGCATAAAGTGAGCCTGGCCTACCAAGGCCTAACTATACCGTACTAAGCCGTGCGAGGCCCTGCAGTGGAAATGCGCCGTTTATGTACTTATTTACTTTCTCAATCACATAATAATAATAATACATTTTATTTAAGGCGCCTTTCATGACACCCAAGGAAACCGTACAATTAGTTAAATATTCTAAGAGGTCAAAGCAACAGAACATCCTCATCATCCTCTCGTGTGTGTTTAATGAAGGTCTGGCGATGGAGAAGGACGGGCGCTTGAGTGCGATGAGCGAAGGCGAAGTTCTGGACGAGGAAGACGATGAAGGGGATGATGATGAAGACGTGGAGACGGAGGAGCAGTCGGGCAACGAGAGCGAGATGAACGAACAGGAGGAGGATGTGAGGAAATGTTTTGGTGTGATGTTTTTGGATTACTGTCATTGGTTGAATTTCCAATCGTTTAATTCGCTGTGAGGCTTTTCTTCAGGACGGGTCTGAGAACGAGTTAGAAGAGAGGGAGGAGGAGGAAGAGGAGAACACCGACTACCTGACCGACTCCAACAAGGAGAACGAGACGGACGAGGAGAACAACGTAAGATACAGCCTGTTAAGAAAACACTGAGTTTATGATTGTTAGAAAAATATCCCTCGTCACCAGCTTGAGCTTCAATTTTTTCTCTAAATGTTGGATTTTTTTCTGAAAATCTAAAAATTATGACTTTCTCAAAATTCTATCTTTTTCTCTAAATTATGACTTTTTCTCAAAATCTCAAAATTCTGACTTTCTCTAAAAAAATCTGACTTTCTCAAAATTCTATCTTTTTCTCTAAATTATGACTTTTTCTCAAAATCTCAAAATTATGACTTTCTCTAAAAAATCTGACTTTCTCAAAATTCTATATTTTTCTCAAAATTCTATCTTTTTCACAAAATTATGAATTTTTCTCAAAATTCTGACTTTTTCTCAAATTCTGACTTTTTTTCTCTCAAAATCTCAACATTCTGACTTTTTTCTCAAAATTCTGACTTTTTTTCTCAAAATTCTGACTTTTTCTCAAAATCTCAAAATTCTGTCTTTTTCTTAACTTAAAATGTTAATAATCACTGGTCCCCGGCTTGAGCTTCAATCTCAGGATCCATGTATTTGTGATCCTCTCCAGAATGAAAGTAGTCATCACACACAGAGCATCAACTAGTTCCTGAACAGTGTCCTTCACATGCTGATATCCAAGAGAGGGAGTTACACAGTCACAAGATGGAGGAATAGAAAGCAGTATTCAATGTTTACTTCAGATTAGCTCCACGTCAGAAATGAGCATGCTTGTCATATGTCTCTCTCCATAGAGGCTGAATCATCATGTTAATCACATAGCTATCATATGCCTCAAACAGTCCTGATGCTCTTCTAGGTAATCACACATCCTGTCATGTTCACAGCTACAGTTGGGATACCTTTGTTATCATGTTACTCTCATATTGGAAGAGGACATTCAGTATTTTCCAAACAATGAGAGAAAGGAAGAAGTATTTGTTTAACGATGTGTGACTTCAGGAGGTGACGATTCGTGGCGGAGGATTAAAACACGTCGCCTGCGCTGAAGACGAGGACTTCATCCAGGCTCTGGATAAGATGATGCTGGAGAACCTGCAGGTAACACATCCTCTCAACTCACCTGTTGTCTTAAATGTGAATACAAGGACACGTTTACACATTGTTTATGGTATTTTATTTAAAGGTCACCTATCATGCTATTTGTAGGCAATAGCATAGGTCTCAGATATATATACATATATATAAAAAACATGTCTATGAAGTGTTTTGCTCAAAATACCAAACAGATCACCCATTCTAGCCATGCCTCATATCCCTCCATTTCACTTCCTGTTTCAAAAGTGCTGATTTTGGGTATAAAGCTTTAAAAAATAAAATAATTGATCAAAAAATAAAAAGGGAGGGGTCTGAGCTCATGCGGGACCCGGCAGCTACTGTCTAAACTAAATACTGCCGTGATGAAACGCCATATCATGGATTATCAAGGATTGTTTCTGAAACAGTATGGAGCTCAAAGGCTTTCTCTCTTGCCGGTTATACCACAAGGTGAGTTCCTTTTTATTTCCTGCTTCTTCACACACATGCTCTCCAGTACAGGTTAGCTCTGAGTGTTAGCGATGCTAATGTAAACACCGACCATATTACGTCCAAAACAGTCGGGCATTGTTTCTGATAGCAACGTTTCTGATAGGGCCGTGGGTCCACATTTCAGATATTACGTCATATCGGACGCAAATCTGGATCAGCTCCGTTGTAGCCCCGTTTTTAGAGATTTGGGTACGGAGGAAAAGAGAGAAGGTTTCATTTTCTGACGCTGCGTGAGTTCCCTGACACACCGGGGACACATCTTTATGTATAAAATACATCAACAAGTGCATTTTGCATGATAGGTCCCCTTTAAGGAAAGATAAGATAGGACTTTATTTATCCTGAAGGGAATTGTTCTGCCAGAGTTACAAAAACACAATAAACACAGCAGCATGATAATAAAACTGTACACTAACAGAGCAGCAAAAAGAGCAATTAAATATCTACAGGAAACATCGACGGCCACATAATTAATGTAAAGAACTGTACAGTGACGAGCAGTATTTAGTAGTGGCAGATACGTAATTGCACGTTATTATAGAACAGCATTATTAATTAACGGTTCACAAATGTCCCGACATGAACATTGAAACAGCTTTTCTCTTTGCTGTAATGCTTCCTCCTGTTCATCTTGCACGATGAAACATTCCTCTTGTGCACGTTTGACTCAGGGAAGAAATTCAATGAAAAAACGATGTGTGAAAGCACTTATACACGATTAACTGTATAAATACAACTATATGAGATTTAAAAAAAGTTACAAAATGGGATGCAGAATAAGTCTTTAGCAAGTTTTTGAGTACAATATTCCCCCCTTTTTTAATGAATGTGATATATATCATTCTTCTTCTTCCGCTAGTGCTACTTTTATATACTATATATATTATATTCTAATGTTTTGTGTTGTTCAAACCGTTCATTAAAACCAATAAAACTAACAGGCCGCTCGGATGTAGTTCAGCAATGTTCTGAAACAAACCCCCCCTCTTTACTGTGCACATTAAGCGTTGATGTAAACACTCTGAAAGGTAATAAAGTCCTATCTTATCTTGTTGTTGTTGTTGTTTACTCTCTGCAGCAGCGCAGCGGGGAGACGGTGAAGGTTCACCAGCTGGACGTAGCGATCCCTCTGCAGCTGAAGAGCCAGCTGAAGAAGAGCGGCTCCAGAGAACCCGTCATCGGGGGGGAAGAGAACGAGATCTCCGACACCATGCAGTTCGTCATGCTGACACGCAAAGGCAACAAGCAGCAGGTACACACACACACACACACACACACACACACACACACACACACACACACACACAGCTACAAGTCAAGTTAGTTAGCTTTAGATTTTCATTGATAATTCATAAATATCCCCCGTGCCTCACATGATGTACTTAAATAGAAACAATGAGGCAACAGTTAGTGTGTGTGTGTGTGTGTGTGTGTGTGTGTGTGTGTGTGTGTGTGTGTGTGTGTGTGTGTGTGTGTGTGTGTGTGTGTGTGTGTGTGTGTGTGTGTGTGTGTGTGTGTGTGTGTGTGTGTGTGTGTGTGTGTGTGTGTGTGTGTGTGTGTGTGTGTGTGTGTGTGTGTGTGTGTGTGTGTGTGTGTGTGTGTGTGTGTGTGTGTGTGTGTTGGAATGTTTGGTCTGAGGGCAGAAACGGCTTCTTGTTCTGCAGGGTGTGTCCAGCTGTTTTCATTTTTTTATTTCATGCAGCGTTCAGTCCACACGGCTTCAGTCTGACTTTAAGGAGCGCTGCCAGAAAACAGTTTTCACATATGAGGGTTTGGAGAGAAGACAGAATATCTTTGTAGGTGTGTTAGTGAGGTGTGTGTGTGATGGGAAATGACTTATTTCTCTCTGTAAACACACACACACACACACGCACACACACTGCCACACCAGGTGGAATTAAAGCATCCTGTCTGTGTGTTGTTTGTGTGTCAGACCTCTAATAAATGACTCTCAGAGTTAAAGAAGCAGATACTCCTCTCATGTCTGTCGTTAAATGATAAAGCTGCAGCCTCTTAGCTTAGCTTAGCATAAAGACTGTAAACGGGGGGAAACTGCTAGCCTTGCTCTGTGCAAAGGAGACACAATCTACCTACTAGCAGCTCTATAGCACTGATATAGTTCCTCCCTTGTTGTTCACATCTGTATGAACTAAATGGTGAGTTGATGAAGTGTTTTAATTACATCAATCATTGCATTGAAATCATAGTTTTTTGGAGCAATGTGTATTCCCTTTACTTAAAATAACATGAGAAAAGTACAAAGCTACAGATAGTTAGCTTAGCTTAGCATAAAAACAGCTAGCCTGGCTCCGTCAAAAAGCTATTTGTAGGATTATTTTTTTCACTCAGGGCAATAAAACCAAAGACTTCCAGAAATATAGAATATAATCAGTGGATCCAGCCTCCTGTGTGCTGTGTGTGAATGTGTGTTAATGTGTGTGTTAATGTGTGTTGTGTGTGTTTCTTTTTGTATTTTGTTTACAGGATGAGTGAGGGTCAAACGACATTACATTCAAGATTTCATGACACCAAGAAATTAATTGGCAACAAAATTTGACTTAAAGGTCCCATGTCATGGCCATTTCTACTGATCATAGTTCCATTGTTGAGGTCTACTAGAATATATTTACATTGTTCAATGTTCCAAACTCACATTGGTTTCTCATACAGCATCTCTGTATAGTATGTGTATTCACTCTCTGTCCTAAACGGCTTGTTGGAGCTCCTGCCCCCCCCCCTCCCTGTGAGCCCACTGTGCTCTGATTGGTCAGCTCGCCCACTCTGTTCTGATGAGTCCACCACCGTTACAGCGGAACATCAGTGATTATGTTTTACAATGGCGTTTGTTAGCAACCAGGAAATGACACCAGTAATGACAAACAGGTGAGAATGCTGCGTGGGGTCTGGGTGCCGTGTTGGCGGGACGTTGCGGGGCTCGCTGCTGGAGCGGATAGTGTGAGCTGGGTTACTGGTGTCGTTTCCTGATTGCTGCGTGGGGTCTGCGAGACACGGCGAACTCAGCCTGAGCACGCACACGTGAGTGTGTGGCGAACTGTGAGTGGAGATCCACGCAGCTGCGGCTGAGAAAAGCTCTATGCAAGTCAATGGGACTCCCTGATAGTTGAAAATCGACACTAAAGGTCCCCACACTGCGTTTGATAGTGACGCCAAGGATCCTGGTGTGTGAGGAGCTCCACGGATTGGTCCATTACTCGCTACAGGGTGCACTTTGAGGGTTTGTGACTTTGCAGACCTTTACATGCATACAAAGCTACATAGCACACAAGGGGACGGGTAATAACCAGAAAAGCATGTCATGGGACCTTTAAGTGAAATAGTACCAATTAATACTCACAATAGGTGATATAAAACAAACACTAGCCCACACACCCCCCCACCAAAAACCCCCCCAAAAAACCACAATCCCACCACAAACAAAACACCCCCCCCCCCAACAAAACCCCCCCCCCCCCCCCCCCCCCCCCCCCCCCCCCCCCCCCCCCCCATTCCCAAACTGACACAAACACACACACTCACAATAATGTGTGTGTTTCTCTCAGTATAAGATCCTGAACGTGCCGCTGTCCTCCCACCTGGCGGCGAATCACTTCAACCAGCAGCAGGCGGAGCAGGAGGAGAGGATGAGGATGAAGAAGCTGACGCTGGATATCAACGAGAGGCAGGAGCAGGAGGACTACCAGGGTACGCACACGCATTCTGAGACACTCAGAAACATCATGTATATTCTCTCAGAAGATAGTTTTGATCAATATGTCAGCACTTTCCTCCGCTTGTTTCTTTGATAACTTAACATCCAAATGTCTGCTGACTTAGAGCACCCAGTAGAAATAAATAATAAAAACAGCCAACATTTTGAAAGTGTCTTAAACGTGGAGAAAAGTTGGATTTCTTCTGAATGAGGCATGCTCAAAGAGTGTAGCTATTATTATAAACATCATTAAAGACCAAATTAAATGCATTGTTATTTTTAATTTAACCTTTTATTAAACTAAAGTATTTAAAACTGTTTCCTGCAGCATTAATACATTTAATTTTACATTAACTTGTTGTGTTTGTATTAATAACTTTATTCAGTTTTATTTGATCCTTTTATTGTCTTACTTATTTTTATATAAATGTTTATATTTTTTAGGGCTGTCAAGTTAACGCGTTAATGCAAAAAAAAATTAACGCCACTAATTATTTTAACGTGCGATTAACGCATGTGTATTTGCCCTCGGCCCGCCCCGTAGTTTCAGAGCCCAAAGGCTAGACGTTGTTGTTGTTGTTGTTGTTGTTGTTAGTTGGATGGTGGGAGATTCTAGCGAGAGATATGGATACAAGAAAAAGGTGTTTCAAACAGCAAGCCAAGCTCACAGCTGATGCTCAGCCCCGCTCCGGCCGCTCGCTTGCGGCAGACCACGCTTGACAGTTTGCCGGGGAGACGCCTGGACAACAACAGCGATAGCTAAATGGGGGGCTACAGCTTAACATTGTGGAGGACGAGGGGCTGCGTGAGATAATTCGGATCGTATGGTATGAACTGGTATGAAGACAGAGGCCACTGTAAACAGGCTGGTCTGTAAACAAACATTTGCATAAAGCATATGTTGATAAGAGAATTAAAAACTTGAAAGATATTCCTCTAAGGTGCATTTAGAACAGATACAAAATGTGCGATTAATTTGCGATTAACTATTTTAATCGACTGACAGCCCTAATTTGATCACATTTGTTATTGCACATCTTTACCCTTACTTCTCATGTTCATCTACATATTTAAAAAAAACACAATAATTGGACATTGAACTTCTTATTTGTCTAAACTTTAACTCCATTTGTTTATATAAATATTTTAAACGTATCTTTTATTTGGAAAATCCCAGTTTAACCCATGAATGAAATGAGATGAAACCCCTCTTCCCTCTCCAGAGATGATGGCGTCCCTGGCTCAGCGCCCCGCTCCGGCGAACACCAACAGGGAGCGCCGGCCTCGATACCAACACCCGAAAGGCGCTCCCAACGCCGACCTCATCTTCAAGACCGGAGGAAGGTGAGACGCTGACACTGCAGCGCCGCCCCGGTGCTAACAAAAAAAAACACAAAGCGCAGAGTGTGTCGGATGTGGATGTTCGGGGGGATAGTAGGGCTCATTATCTTCTTCGTTGGTGTCCGTCTGAACAGAGCGAGAGATGACAAGCTTGAGCAGCGAGACAGGAGAGAGAGCAGTGAGAGCAGTGAGAGCAGAGAGACGGAGTAGAAATGAAACAGAGGTTTATTCCTGTTGATATTTGCACTTGAACTGATTCTGTCCTGAGGAGTTAACGTTCTTGTTGATCTGGAAACATCGACGGCACCACGTGTGTCTTTCCTGCTCCTGTGGAGGAACGGCAACACAACGTGAACCTGGGGAGATGGTTTTAACATTTTAAATATAAATCAATCTAAAGTTTGTATAGACGCAGGGATGTTTAGGGACAGATCGAAGAGGTTTCATTTATGATTTCAGTAACGGTAATAAACTTTTATAACAAGTATTGTGTGTGTGTATCGAGTCCTGATGTTCCAGAGAGCTCCTTTGTTGTTCAACTATTAAAATCACTTCAATAAAGAAAGCCACAGTTTCACTGACATCGTCCTTCATTATCACCACACACACACACACACACACACACACACACACACACACACACACACACACACACACACACACACACACACACACACACACACACTCACACTCACTCACACACACTCTCTCCATCTCTCTCTCACACACACACACTCTCTCTCCATCTCTCTCTCTGTTTCTCTCTCTCACACACACACACACACTCTCTCTCTCTCTCTCTCTCTGTTTCTCTCTCTCACACACACACACACTCTCTCTCTCTCTCTCTCTCTCTCTCTCACACTCACTAGAGCAACATGTGGATCAATCCGCCGCCAATAAATGAACTATTTCTCCACTTTCTTTCGAATGAAATTATATATTTGGTGTCGTTTACAAGATGTGCGTCTCCATTGTTGTTGTTTTGTCTTATCATGGGAGTTGTTTAAAACGGCAGCAGCATGTTTAATAATCCGCTAATTCAATTTGTGTCAATGCTAAAAGAAATACATGATACTACTAAGGAAAAACTACAATATAGATTATATAATATATCAGAAGATCTGTTGTAAGAAGGTTTTCAAACCTTTGACTGCAATACAGATGTGAAAAAAAAATGCTTAAAACTAGATTTCCGAATCAGACCAGGGTAGTGTCGTAACGTGATAATCTCAACTACACTTCCTAAATGTTTTGTCACGGCGCAAACAGTGTAAACCAATGGGAATATAAAGCCTAAAGTATGCTGTTGCATTTTACAAATCTGATTTAAAATACTGTGCGTGTTTGTGGTTATCCTGTCCTCTTTAAATCTCAGCATGTATTTCGACCGTTTTAGGAACAAATCCATGAAGACAATATTCAATGTTTTTATTATCTAGGTACCAAAGAACCAAAAAGACACCCATGAGTGGGAATGATATCCATGAACTGTATTTATATGTCGTTTTTGAGTTTCATTCTGTTATTATTTTAATTTTATTTGACATCTATTAAGAGTTACCAAACATTTTAGCACCTCGTACATATTGGCTTTTTTCATTACATAAAATATAACCCAAAAACTGATATGTAAATATTTAAATGTTCATTCCAACCACATACACCAATCCACATGTCATGTTTAATCGTATATATCTTTCTGTGTATACATCTATCCTTTTACTTGTTGTAAAGTGTGTATTTTTTGCAATAATAAGTTTTTTTTTGCCCATTTGACGGAGTTTGATCGTGACTTTCCGGCTCATTATTATGTATCCGTCCGGCCCACGACTTCCCCTTCTGTTTCCTCCTGTAGCGTAGAGAGTTAGCCTCTCAGGTGGAGTTAGCAGCTCCAGAGGCAGATGTTTCCTGATGGTGGAGAGACGTGTTATCCGTCTGCAGTAAATGTCTGCTCTCTCCTCCAGGAGACGCTGATGGGAGTCTGGGTTCGGGCTGAACGAGCGAGAGCGACTGAGCGAACGAACAATCGAGCGAACAGAAAGAAGATCGGAGGAGGAAAACCGGTCGGAACAGGAAACGCCCCTTCCCCCTGAAGACGGGACTTCTTTACCCGAAGAGGAGACACTAAAAACCGCGGAGCAAGGGGGGGGGGGGTCAGAGGTCAGAAGGTCAGAAGGTCGGACACACGGCTCTCTTTTCTTATTGTCTGTTGACTAAGATTACAAAAAACAAGTTGGGCGAGTGGAAGAAGTGACGGATCGTTTTCCCGCCCTCACACCTAGGGGAGGAAACAAGACTCATGATGAGGAGGTGAACAAACCTGCGAGTGGGTTTAAAATAATCTTTCTTTTGTCGTTGTTTTTGGACTTTTGAAAAGTCTCGATGTCGAGAAGGCGGGGAAGAGTTGGCGAGACAGCAAAATGGCCGGGTTTTAACACCAAGTTGGTAAACGGTCGTAAAGAGAGGTTGTTTTGTGCACAACATGTGTGTTTGAAAAGCAGCTGAGGGTCTGAGGCTGTTGTTCTCACGTGTTGATTCAGAGTGTTGGGAGGTCACTTTCTTTCTACTGATTAACGTCACTCCACTTTAGGACTGTACCGAAGAGCTCTAAAGTGTTGAGCAGCGCTAGTTTTTCATTATGCCTCAACAAAGACCACAGGAAGAACGTCTGATCTTGGCATTACAGCGTCCCCAATTTAGGCCCAAAAGTACTTTTCCGGTAGACTAACAATGGGAAATAGAAGGCTGTAAATGAGCAGATATATATATAATTTATCTATAGTAAGACTACTTCAATTCTCCTTGTTTAAATCCTAGTCGTAGTAGCTGTGAAATACACTTTTAGCCAAATTGGTGAAAGGCAGCGCTAACGTGCTAACGCTATGGGACCATACAGGTGAAGGATTCGGGTCATTTTGTATTCATGAATTCAACTTTTTGGCGCCATTGATCCTGTTTTATAGAAAAGCACTTTGCCCTTCCTCCAACGCTGTTTATCTGAAAAAAAATTCAAGAAAATCACAAAGTACAAAAGCAGTAAACCGAATAAGTCTGGTTTCATTTCAAAGACAAAAAAAATCCAGTACCGAGACGTGGATTTTTGTTTAATTGGACAAAGCTAGGCGAGCAGTTTCCATCTGTTTCCAGTCTTTGTGCTAAGCTAAGCTAAGCTAACGAGCGAGGCTTCATATTTAACATACAGACTTTAAAGAGGGGTCAATCTTCTCCTGGGAACAAAGAAAACCAGTCTGAATTCATCTCATCTTTCCTCCAACTTCTCTCCTGATATACGTTGTATTTCCCGCAGAATGGAGAGCACCTCAGAGATTTGATTTGTGAAGTGTATCGTGGTTAAAACCGTCTTGTTGTTGTTGTTGTTGTGGACAAACGGATAACCATGTGCCTGAGGGACTATATGAGTTCAGATATTTGTTGAGATAGATGTATACATATACTCATCATGCATGTATCTTTTCTGCAGCAGCTTTACTTTGTGTCTGGAGGCAAAGCTACTTCCTGCAGAGAAACACCAGCACGTCTCTGTGTCTCGGCTTCACTGACAGATCTTCACAATAAATGTTTGCAGATGACGGTGTGTGTGTGTGTGTGTGTGTGTCGTTCTGTAAATGAGGTCGTCGTGTGTTTGTGGCATTTGCGTGTTTTTAGAGGGTGCGCCTGTTTGTCCAGGTCTAATTACAAGCCTGCAAACTTCAAGTATTTCCTCATTTCCTGCACGCTCGCTCCGCTGCACCCTGCATATGTTCAACCTTTGCTATATTACGGAGATTATAAGGAAGGTAAAGGGGAAATATGTAAGGGATAATGTGCAGCGACGCGGTCACTATGGGGAAAAGAACACCCGACAGGCGGATCAGGAGCCCGACGCGTAGTTTGCTTTTCAGCCAAATTGTATACAGTTAAATCGACTGGACTTCTTTCTGCAGATGTGCGCGTCTTTAACAACGGTCAATAAATCCTTGACAGCGGTCTGTCTGTTCTGGATTAACAACGTGTCACGTGTTCTGAATTGACCAATCAGAATCGAGTATTCAACTAAACCATGTAATAAATGCTGTTAACCACCCAAATACCAACAAATATACAACATGCATGCACTGTGTATTACCTTTATTCAACGTCATATTTAAGAATTAGGACCAAAATACTTTATTTATCTGGTGGGATATTGGGTTTTGGGACAGTTGCCTCATTATAATGATATAAACTAATTAAAAATAAGGAAAGATATTTATATTTACATAAGAAGTTATAGTAAAATGTCCAATAAAAGGAGTTTAAGTAGAATTTAAAGTTAAAATAATATAATTTCCTTTTATGTGTGATCAGATGTCATAACTCATAAAGAAAGCCAGATCCTATGTTAATACAAGGTTTGAAATCAGGTGTTTTTTATGTGTCAATTCAACTTAACTTGCATAATATCAGCACACTGAAACTAAATATACAAATGTGTTAAAACTAGATTTTTAAACGCTGAAGGACAGGCCTGAAATACATGTAGAAACATCTGTAAAGCTACAGTAAATGTCCGTCATCTTTACACACACACACACACACACACACACACACACACACACACACACACACACACACACACACACACACACTCCAGGAAAGAGAGGCTCTGTGTTGAAGTCTTATGTAAGCGCCGGCCGCTCAGACAGTTTGCTTCTGTTTTCCTCGAGGTCAACACACAAGTGGACCAATGTGTACGTTTGGAAAAGGTTAGAAAAACTCAACTTTATAAAAACTTCTGGCCTTTTTTCTTTAAACGAAAGAACCGCTGCTTGTTTAGGTTTAAGCTCATATCTTAATATGTCTTGTTTTATAAGTGTACTGTCAACAAATATGTACTTTAATATATCATTGAACAGATAAAAGCATGAAATCTACACATTTGCCATTTTTGCATGAGAAAAATGTCTTAAACATTAATTTAATTTCTCTGATTGATTATAAATGTGTCCACTAATTGTTGCAGCTCTAAAATGTATTAAAGATGAATCCCAACACATTGTTAACACAGTTTTCCTACATTTTGTTGTGAGTACAAACACACGTTAACTCGCTCTCAGTAAGCTGGTCTTCATATGTAAAATCTGTGTACTGCCCCTTTACATTTCTCGCCTCGTCACCTTTAAAACATCCCGTTAGTTTCCTCTCAGGTAAAACATTTACCTACGTTATCAATCATTAAACAACAGCAGGTCCTTCCTTATTAGATTACAGAGTTAATTCAAGAAAAATACAAGAAAACAAGTTACTATAATTATGTTTAATGAGTGACATCAATCCAACATTAGATATATTAAGAAGAGTATATACAGGTTATAATAAGAACATTTGAAAAGTCAAAAAGGCTGATCTTCCCATTTACCACATGCATACTTTTTAAAATCCCATTTCAAGTCCAAATAATTCCTTATAAAGTAGACTGTTTTATACACATTGTACTCATATATATATATACTATATGTATGCACCATTAGATACTTCAAATATACTGTAGCTGAACTACAGAGAACCGGAGTCCGTAAACAAATTCACAGAAAAATATTCACGTGAAAAACTAAACATACTTCAATATTGCTGTAGGTGAGCTACAGAGGCCGGAGTCTGGTTAACACACACACACAAACACACACACACACACACACAAACACACACACACACACACACACTTATTTGACAGATTTGATATAAAAGTGAGGCAGACAGTGGACAGACACACACAGCGGGGACAGATTGCTCTCCGTCCATCACACACACACGAACACACACTGTATCCGTCACACACACACTCTGTCTCTGTCCAACACACACAGTTAAATAACACACTTGCCAAAAGATATCGACAACAGCTCAAGAGGAGTAGAAACACCAAAGTAATCCACGATGTATTTCTAGACTCTGCGGTTTTTAGTGCTTCTGTTTTCTTACAATCCCATGTGCGCCGCCCATCCCTAAAGAGCGGATTTTAAGCGTTCCCCTCAGTAAGAAAGTAAAAAGTCCTTCCCACAAAACCCATTCCACAGTCTGTGGTCTGGTGTGGGAGTGGAGTAAAAATATCTCTCTGAAAATCTCTTATCCCCGTCTGCAGCATTGTTATTCCAGTTGGTTTCCAGAACAATTGGGACATTCTTGTTTCTGGAATTGGATAAAACCGTCTTGCTTTTTACAACATAGTTTGTTCATTTCAGAAGTAATACAATCGCACCGAAGAAAAAGTGCCTTCAACTTTGTTTTTACCCCAAAGTGCTGACAGAAAAACAGCCACCGTCGACTGAAGAGTTGGTCGAGAAACCATTAAACACCAAAATAAATGCCCTTGTTTCTGCACTCTAAAGATTTCACAGCCGCAAAAAGGAACGTGACACTGTAAAACAAAATATATCACTTAAAGTTATATTTTTTTAAGATTTAAAGTACAATTTGCAACACAAATACTCTCTAATTTAACCTTTAATTGTCTTCTTTAAATAACTAAATTACTCTTGTGCATAATTAGCTGCTCATTTACTTTAAATAACGGTTAAAAGTGTCTGCTAAAAAAGACACATATTTCACCAGAGCCGGATTAACCTACGACGCAAAATATCTCTTTTTCAATCCATGTGTACCGACTTTATATATTGCCATACATTACCCCAGACATATGCTATTCTGGAGGACTAACAGCCCAATGTGTGCAGTGTGGAAGATAGTATGTGGACATCTAAAAGTTAAAAGCACATTTATTTAACTAACGCTGGGATCCTGAGTCGTGGCTGAACCTGTCTCTGCGGTCCTGCCTGACTCTCATCATACTACTTCCCTGATGGCTCCCACAGGATTGTTGACATCCTCGTGGATTCATCTTCTTATTATAGACACATGCATTTCCAAACATTTGGTCTACCTGCTGTAAATATATTATCTCTTCGATTTACACACGGCATCTATTGCACGTCTGTCCGTCCTGGGAGAGGGATCCCTCCTCTGATGCTCTCCCTGAGGTTTCTCCCATGTTCCCCTTTAAACTGTGGGGTTTCTCTGGAAGTGTTTCCTTGTACGATGTGAGGGTCTAAGGACAGAGGGTCTAAGGACAGAGGGTCTAAGGACAGAGGGTGTCGTTTTGTCATACTGATATTCTGAACAAACTGTGAAGTCCACTGAGACTAATGTAACATTTGTGATATTGGGCTATATAAATAAACATTGATTGATTGATTGATTGATTGATTGATTGATGGAATAAAAACTAGATTCTGAGTCCCTGCTACAGGATAAGGCTTCAAAATTACCGCAAATGAACATATTTGGTTTCTTTTTGGGAGCCCTATAGAAGGTTTGTGTCACAGGTAATTTGGCCATTTCCCATTTAGTTACCCAGTCTTACTTTTGGCATTAAAACATAAAAAAAAAAATCCCAATAAAAGTCTTTATAACCTTTATAAAATGGGCCTCGTTTGCAAAAGATGGTCCTATTGTAGTTTATCTCGACTCAATCCCAAATACACCACCAGAAACATTCCCAAAAGTACCAAAAGTGGATAAGTCCGCCACCGATAAATACACTACTTCCTCCTGTTTAGTAACGTTTGATACACATAAGAAAATAGGACCCAGTTTAAAAAGGTCCAGATATTCACAAGCATCCTCGTTTGTGGCAAACCAAAGGTTCTTCAAAGAGGATGCTCCTCTTTACAGCAAGAAAGCTCCAAAATATCTTTCTGCAGAGGTATACAATGTCTTGGATCAGATATAATATAAAGTAGTTTATCTTTGTCGAACGTGACACACTTGATTGTCAGTTTGTTTTATGGCCAGGAAGTGAGAACTGGCTGTGCAGGTTCTATCGTATGATCTCGAAAAAGTCTCTCCCCTACCACGCCTCAAACTCAGCCAAACATGGGGGAAACTTCTAGCATTCCTCAAGCAGAAAGTCAGGCTCGACAGGTACAGAAAGTTTATCAAGACTCCTTCCACAACCCAAGTTTCCTCAAGGCTTCTCTGCGCGATTCGTCCGTCGCTCCTCGTCCAGAAAACTGCACGGTGATGCCTTGGGGACGAAAGGTGGATCTTCGCCTGTGATCAGGGGATAATGCTCGAGGTGCTGGTAACGGTGTAGAAACGCCGCCATGATAGGAGTGACGAGGAGGTCTTGGTGCCGGAGCGGGAGATGGAGCTTTGAAACTCTTCGAAGGACTGTCCGTCGGGCGATTCAACCCGTAGGAAGGGTTGAAAGTTCGGCTTTTCCCTCCGTAGCTGTTCAGCGCAGTGGGTAGCGGTTCTTGTTTGGCGGGTAAGCTTTGACTCTTGTCGATGTGGGAGCTGAGGATATCTGGAAGGTCGCTCCTGGCTACGTGAGAAGGGGTCATGACTTTGGTCTTTCCTCCGTAGGTGTTGAACTCGGTGGGGTTAGCCAGCGCAGGGGGCAGCACTTTGGGATCAGGGCTACTTGGTGAAGGTAACGACTCTCTTCTGAAGGAATGAGAAGGGTTCACCGTGATAGATTTCCCCCCATAGTTGTTCGGTTCGAGCGAAGTGACTTCAGGCGGAGGGGGGAAAGATGGAGATGTCCTGGTTT